CCCTAACCTTAAACCCTAACCTATTGGCTAAGGTGTTTTTTTTGCATCAGCTTTTAATGTTCTCACAAATCAAAACCAGATTTATATAAACCTGTTAATATTTGTTCTACAGTGGGGGCAATGGAGCTTTCAACAAGTGCCATTATGGCAGCAAGCCATTCCCCTTCTGGTTTTCTTTTTTTTGGGGGGGGGTGACACTTCTAACACACAACACAAATCCTGCAACTCTTTTGCACAAAAAACCAAAGCTAGTTCATGACGTTTACAGCTTATAAACCACTGTGATGGTAAATATGGAATTATAAGAGAAAGTTTGCAGTTTAAAAATACCCCAGAAACCCCATGAAGTGGGACTACCATTGTAAAGTTGCTCTAAAATTTGAGCTCAATGGAACAAGAGTGCTGGCTAGTGCGTTTAGAGCTGCTTCTGTCTCCCGCCACCCTGGCTTCTACCCAACCCCACACTTGCATCCCTTGCCTTTATCACAACTGTGTGCAAACTGAAATCATGAAACACTGACCTATTTTATCTTATGTACTTTATTATCATCTCTTATCTAGGTTTGATTTAATACACCGGTAGTGTCAAACAGATTTTGTTGTTGTTGTTTTATTAAACAGGGGACAGACTTGACTTCAGAGCTTTATGTTTTTTCTACAAGTGGACATGCAATTCACCCCTAACTTTTGTGAAATCTCTGATACTTTTTTCCAACACTTGCAACAGTTTAAGGGTTCTTCCTACTAGCTTCTTAACTCATACCACAAGCCACCTCATGAGAAAGGACTACAATGTGAATTCAATACGTTTGGAAAACATCACATAACCTAATTATAACCATTTCAGATGGACTTAATCTAATGTGCAAGACACTCAAACTTACTGTACTGTTTAATGGGAAAAATACAACTCTGCTCTGCCTTTACTCCTGCCACATACACTTTCTAGACAGTAAACAGAGACTTCACCCTCTACAGTTGAAAAACATTCTAGTAAGTAGAAAAATTATTGACTGCATATATGAAATAGCTACTGGCCCTAAACTCATCCATGATTTATTGTTGGAAAGACATTTTAATTTACTTATATTTGACCTTAATCTAATATATTCTTCAAAAACATACTTCACTTTAATTCATGGAAAATAGCTAACGTCACAACATATGAGAAAGACTATTAATCACAATAGTGGAGACTGGAAGAGACCTCTGGAGATCATCTGAGGCAACTCCCTGCTTGAAGCAAGGTCACGTAGAGTACCTTGCCCAGGATCCTGTCCAGCCCCGCTTTGAGTATCTCTAGGACTGGCACTCCAGCACCCCTTGTCTTGTGCGTGGGTACCACCGAGAAGCTGGCCCTGTCCTCCTGATACCCTCCCTTCAGACAATCCTAAGCATTGGTAAGATCCCCTCGAGTCTTCGCCATGCCAAACAGTTCCAGATCTCTCTGGCCCTCCTCATGAGACATGCTCCAGTCCCTTAGCCATCTCTGCGGCCCTCCATTGCACTCATGCCTGTAACCCCATGTCACTCATACTGGGGAGCCCACAACTGGACACAGTACTCCAGCTATGGAGAACATGAAGATGTTAAAGAGCACTGGCTCCAGCACTGACCCTGGGGGATACCACAAGTGCCCTGGCCTACAGCTGCACTTGGAGATGCTGTTCACAACTGCAGCTGAGCCACTCAGCTCTGTAACCAGCAGTTCAGGTAGCTTCACTAACCACTACCTAGTCTGCACTTCATCAGCCTGACTATAAGGACGTTATAAGAGCCAATGCCAAAAGCCTCACTTGAAGTCACGGTGCACCATATCCACTGCTCTCTTCTCATCCAACAAAACAGTCACCTCAGCATAGAAAGGTATCAGGTTGGCTAAGCACCATCGCCCCTTGGTGAACCCATGCTGACTACTCCCAGTCACCCCTCTGTGCTTGTCGTGTCTGGAAATAGCATCCAAGATTAGTTGCTCCATCACCTTCCAGAAGCTGAGCTGAGATTGACTCACCAGTAGTTTCCTGGATCCTCCTTCATGCCTTTCTTAAAGATCAGGATGATATTTGGTCTCTTCCAGGCCTTAGGACTCCCTCCTCATCACCACAACCTTTCAAAGGTGGTGAACGGCGCCCTCAGCACTCATGGCCATAACCTGTCAGTGCCCATGGACTTATGTCCAGTGTGCCTAAGCATTCCTTAACCTGCTTCTCTGGGAACTAGGATTCATGAAGGCCAGTCTTATCAGTAAAGACAGAGGCAAAAATGGTATCCAGTACCTCAATCTCTTCCATGTTCTTTACCACCAATGCCCCTGCCCCAGCTAGTAGTGAGCCCACATTTTCTCCTTGCCTTCCTTTTGCTACTTAGTACTTTTAGAAGTCTTTCTTTCAATTCCAGATAACCTTTGGCTATCCCACCTCACCCCTACATGCTCGGACAGTGTCTCCCTATTCTCCTGGACCACCTGTCCCTATTTTCACCCCCTGCACACTTAGTGTTTAGGTCTGAGTTTAGTCAGAGCTCCCTGTTCATGCATGCTGGTATTTCACCACCTCTGCTCCATTTCCTGCTTACTGGGATGAAGTATTCTTGAGCTTAGAGGAAGTGATCCTTTAATATTAACCAGGTTTTTATATCAGCCAACAATCATGAAGTGGACTGTGTTATAGAATGTGTTATGTGGGCTGCTTATCAACATGTGTAGGCTATTCAATGTAATTGTATTTGGTGGTCAAAAAGCCAAAATTTCTTACCACAGAACAGAAAATGCAATATCCTTATTCTACATTATCTGTATTATAATAAAGATAACACAATGAGTTCTAGCATGTGACTAAGTCTGCAGCATGAATTAAAACAAAAATCGACAGAGCAAGTACCTAGTCATTACAAGTTCTCTGTTTTCTAGGATTGGTTCTGAGGGCAAAACTGATGCAGTGACTGAGAGTTCAACTTCGTATTCATCTTGCTCATGGTTGCCAACATCTCTTGCATGCATGGACCCTGGCAGCTCAATTCTTTTCGAGCTCTGCTATATATGACTGGTATATTCTCTAATTGAAATTACACTAAACGATGCAACTAGACATTTCAAAGCATGAAAAATGCCAAAGGATATTTCATTAGTATTTTTAGTTTTCCAGATATAACTGCAGATGTTGAGTTTTTTTCAATTCAGTTTGGAGTTAGCTACTTTTTGGGTTCAAACTCAAAGTTGAACCTAGGAGACAGTTAAGTCAAGAGGCAGGCAGACACCTTGCACGATTTTTTCTGTAAATCCTTTGTGTCTCACTTCCAAAACAGGAGAACAGCACCAGCTTCAGAAAATCCTTATCTCCAATTTCAGTTCTCTCAGTATATTAAAAAAAAAAAAAAAAGACACAACACAAAGGCAGGCTTTAAACTGACACTTAGTTTCTAAAACAACCTCAAAATGCTCACACGAACCTTTCTGAAAAAAACTGAGAGACTAAAGGACTTTTTTCAGGCCCACAACTAGCTCAGGGTTCTCTTTTGAGATACCTGGCATTAGGTGCTTGGAAGAAAGATGCCAGAGATGGTTAGTCTACGACTAGGTAACCGTATACTTATCTTCATGCTTCTACAATTACTAGAATAAAACAGATTTACCCAACTTTCAGAACTTCAGCCCAAGAACTCTAAAGCGACAAACGTCATAGAATAAAGCCCTGGAAAAATAACGATACTTGGGCCAGTGAGACTTCTTATTATCAGATGATAGTACTACCCCTATTCCTGTGCTTGAAAATACTGTTCTGCATCCATCAGAAAAGCATGTGTCATTAAAGGCATTGGTGATCATTAATCCTTATTGCAACACGTAACTTGAAAAAAAGTTTTCAGTGTACTTACCCTGATATATCCGAATAAATTGCAGTATCTACAAAATAGGTTGGCAACAGGTGAAAAACCAAGAGTAAAATGGCTTTACATCCTTTTCCTTGCACAAGCCACAAATCTAGGACCGCAGGGATGGCTGCCCAGTATGTCCCCAGAAATGGAACTGCTCCAAGGATCGCTGCTAATGCTAGAGCACATAGAACCAGGGATCAGTAAGAGACAAGAGAAACATTTTACAGAGATATTTATATTTCAACACTTTTGCCACCCTAGTAGCTCCACCTACATCATTGTTGTAAGAAAGACACTAAAGACAAAGTACAAGGCTCTTGGGGGTTTTACAGTTGAGATATAGGAAAAAAAAACAGTTATGTCTAAGGAAAAGAATCCACATTAGCATTCCCCACATGGAAAAGTTTCACCAATTGCTAGCCATAATGAGTTACCTCCAAATGAGGCTCCAATTTGGAAAAACTAAAACATTTTAGCAGTCACGCACATTTCAAGTTTTCTGTTTCCATAACTACAAACCAGCAAAATGGGTGCAAGAAGCTAAGCAGAAAGAAGTCTCAGGAAAACGGAGTTACCCAATCTCCCAAAATCAACTGTTGTAAGTAGTGCTACGAGGAACGAGGAAAATACAAAGCTCTTGACTTCATGTGCTGAGGCATGCCTGTATACGTGTCTGTCTACGTACATGTACACTCTTCCACTTATGCAAATACTTGTGGTAATTTCAAATATATTTCAAGATATAGTACTTGCATCATTCTAATTTAATACAGTGTAAATGAGCACAATATAATAACTCTTTTTTGTTCTTGTTTAAGAGGCAAAATGATTAAGGATTTTTTCATGCAGCTAGAAGAACAATATTTTAAGTAAGTCTAATGGCAAACAATAAATTTAAGATTCTTGTACTTGACAAAATTTTGTTTTATGAAGTTTTGCATTTTATTTTATACAGTACTGTTTTCTGTTGCTTTATAGCTTCCCATGATGTGTCCCAGTACATGAACGTACAACATTTTTTTTCCTGTTTATAGGGAAATAGGGAGAAAAGAGCAACAGAGCAAAAAATTATTCTGGTTTTAAAAAAAAAAAAAAAAAAGGCATTTTCCAAAATCAGAGACTGGCAATGTAGCCCAGGAACAGTACTGCAAATAGGAAGCATGCCTCTGTAGCGCATTTCCATGATAGTACATCTGCATCTAGGCATCCGGAAAAAGCAGCTACCTATCAGTTGCGGAAGAAGCCAAAGATAAGGCAGGCAAAATGAGCTTAAAACCCTGAACAACCTGGACAGAAATACAAGAGGGTAAGAACAACCACCAGAAAAGAAACAGAGAAGTGGTTATTTGGCTGGGGTCTATTGTGAAAACAAAGTAAGATAAGGGTAAGAGCTAAGATAGGAATCAGGGTCTCCCCCCTGCTGTGCCCACAGCTATGCTGAAGCATTTCTGGAGCACCTTTTCAGCAGTGCTACCTACATCACAGCTGGAATAAGATGTTTAAAAAAAAGAACTAGGAAAATGTGCAAAATTTTCATAGGATAATGAGATTTAAGGTAGATTTAATTTAAACTTGGAGAAAACAATCAGTGCTAAAAAGCTCTCTGGAATTGCAACATCTATCATAAAGTATCATTCTGGTCTTATTCTTGGGACATTTCATAGTGAGGTTTGAACAATGAAGAGTAAATAGAAAACAGGTTACATACTGAACAGAAAATAAACAGATTCTGAATAGCTACTTAGTGAGTTTGCACCATACACTGAATCCAATTGGCTCGGGCATCATGACAAAAAACAGTATCCAATCCTAATTGAGAGCTGCCAATCTCTGATTTAACATTCTCTAAAAATAAAATGGAGACTAATCCAACCAGCAACATTTAACCCTACTGACCTTGTGCAATAATTACGTAATATTGCTGAAAAAAAGATTGTAATAGATCAAATTCTTACCGGATGGTATGAAGACTATGTTAATCCCAAATATTGTGTGAGTCAGCCAAGTGTAGAGTCCATAGAACCCAGCCATTTTGAGAGAAGCATCGAATACACCTCTAAAATGACCAAAGATACTCTGTTAATTTTACTGGAGATAGGACTCTGGGAACTATGACAATATAATATATGAGGTGCTTAGAAAAATAGCAAAGCCATTAGTATTGTAGGTCATATCATTCAAAATGTAACACTGAGACCTTTATGCATTTGTTCCCCACAGAAAGGATGGGCATCCCTCATATTTATCATTGAAGGATTTTTTTAGGTTAAAAACCAGACTGTTTTTTACTGTACAAGGTATTCTAGGGATAAAGTCCTGGAATCAAACTCTACTGGCATCTCACCACATCCTCTTTCAAAACGAGTCTTTTATCTGAGATGTATATCCTCTACACAAAACACTTTCTTTGCCCTTTTCCATTGCCAACTGTTCACTCACTTTTACTTGCCTACATTTCTCATACCTGCTCATTCTCACCACATTGTCCAAGAGTGGAAAAGTTTGCTTAAAATCTTACCTGCCTGCATACTTAAATGGCTTTCAGAATGGAAATAACTGGGCACCTCACATTTATTATTGGATTTTAGTCTTACAGTCTTCTATTTACAGTTTTTAGTTTCATTACCAAGTTACATTAATAAAAGACACACAGAAAATCCAGTAATATAAATTCAGTCCCACTGAATCTAACTTGAATTTGCTGGTCATAAAACAAAGTTTTACTCTGTTAAGCATGACCACAAATTCATGAAGACGGCAAATAAGCAGTTACAGACTTCCCATAATTTTTGCAACTCTAACACACTCATGTATATGGGATATCCTTCATGTATATGGGATATCCTACAATCAATCTGAAAAAAAAAAAAGAGTATCTTAGGATGCCAGTCATAAAATCTATATGCTAGAAGTGACATAACCCAACATTACATTAAGCCTTCTTTACATTAAGCCTTCATCCTTCTTTCAGAAAAACACCGAGCAGTCACAAAATCTATACGCTAGAAGTGACATATCCCATCATTACATTAAGCCCGTTGTTCATCCTTCTTTCAGAAAAACACCGAGTTTCCCAAAGCCACTCTTTCAGTGGATGTAAGTTACCAAGACAGCCCTAGCAGCCACAAGATCCTCTCCTCAGAACAGTCCCACTGCTGCACAAGTGGTCGCAAACTGGTCCTCTTGGTAGAGGTAAATATGAAGTTTGCTCATGTTAACTACCCGTTGAAATAAATCTCTCCTTTGCAGCGATACAACTGAACAAAGAGAAGGAGCATTTTCAACATATACAGTCCTAGCATTCACACTAATCAGCTAAAGGATTTGGTCTTGAACAAAATACAAACCCCTCAGATGGAAAAACTGATGCAAGCATTATAACTCTACAGGTAGGATAGGGCTCCGGTGGTTCTGTTAAAACAGTTGAAACTGGTAAGGAAGGAAATAGTAGCAAACAGCCTTTCTTCACTGTCACTGTACTTTGACCAAGGTAACCTTTTTAATATTCTCCACGTCACTTGTAAAAATCTAATTCTTTTAGATACCAATTGTAGCTGAAAAGTTCACCACTGAGACTAACAGCTGGCTGGACTCAAACTCCCAAATCCCTTCCCGTCTGACACTGAGATCCTCCCAGTCTGTTCAAATTATTATCACCAAATAATGAATCACAAGTAGAGGGAACATTCTGACTGTGTATTTTGATTGCTCATGCTGATGGACAGAATAATTGGACCTTAGATGACAACAAGGCAAAAAAGTTAAAACTATGACATTAAATCTTTCAAATGACAGGAAATGCTGAGGTTTTACACCAACCTTTCTGTCTGTTTATATAGTCTTGTTACAGCAAAATAAATCTGTATTAAAATGGACACCTAACAGACACCATAATAATATTCTACCACCTTAAGCACGCACATAAGGAATTATTACATATGCAGGCATGGAATCCTGCAATATGTTGTACTAAAAAGTAATTCTTGTGGTAAAACCTTATTCTTAGAAATACCTGATACAAGGATTCTTCCCTAC